TTATATAGCAGAGTAGTATAGGGGTTTTCAAGGGGATGCTAGGAGTTTAGACTATAGCTCATATGCGGGGTAGTTATCACTTGACACTTGCATTGATAGAAGAACACCATCTTAGGAGGCTCAGAGAGCTTATGCTTAGATTAATTATGAACGTACAGCTCAGTACCAGCTTGACTAGGTTATGACTACCCTGAACCTCCAAGACTCAAGGCGGATTCGTGTTTTGTGAGGGTTCCGGGGTAGGTAAAGATCTAAACCCTAAGCCCTAAACCCTAATGCTTTTTGACAGATCCAGAAACTTCTTCTGGACGGTATCGTGCCGCCCGTATTACCAAGATACATGGATGAATCAGGAACGCTATGACCACTATGAGTCCCCCGTCATGGTCCAAGGACAGAAGTCGACCATCCAGCGACTCCGGCAAATGAAGAGGCACCTTCAGCAAGGGCGGAAGATCCTTGGAAGATTTGATCCCCTGTGATCAGTGTATGGCCCTCTTTGGTACTAACTCCAGTTGTGGTACATGCAACATGGAAGGGCGGGAGGCTCTGGGCTTGGCGTCTGAGGGCCAGGATGAGGAGCTGCAGGTGCAGACTGGCCCAGAGAATGAGGATGGTCGTGCTACGCAAGCTGCTGAAGAGTTCCCAATCCTGGGCCATGTAAAGCGACCTCACCCTAAATAGTGGTTTATATAGGGAATAAAATAATACCAAAGTGGCCCTAAATTGGCTAGATTACCCTGTAAATCTCTAACTCCTCAACCCCAAAGCCTCAGCCCTAAACGCCTAACCTCTCAACTATAAGCCGCTCCACTATATGGCAGGATGATCGAGCAAAGATCTGCGCAGCATTGGCGCAGGTGGAGGCTCCCCCGGGATTCACCAGGTCCACTTTAGGAATCATGTTAGCTGTAGTCTAAACTAAACTCCTTAAAAGGGGGTTATATGGGGGATTATATAGGGTTTAGGGTTTAGGGTCTAAACTCCTTAAAGGGGGATTATATAGGGGCAATATAGGGGACTACTATAGGGGATATTAAGGGGGATACTAGGAGTTTAGATTACAGCTCATGTAGGGGTTATATAAGGATATGGCTTGTTCCCAAAATTCTGGGCTCCTTTTGGTTAAGTACTAGATTGCGACACCTAATGTTTATGGGTACCAAAAAGGGGCCCTAATTTTGGGAACTAACTACACATTCAGGGTTGAGGGGTGCTTTGTGTTTCTTAGGCGAAGATCCAGTTGCAATAAAATGTGGAGATTGTTCCGGCTTGAGGAAAAAGGTTCCGGGTTTCTTGAATGATATCTGTTTGGGTTTAGGGCTTAGGGTGTACCAGGCTGTATGCTTCCGAAGCTTGGAGTTACAGAAATTTTGGGTCTCATTTCCTTAATCAGCGTTGGAACCTACATGAAGCCCCTTCCCCTTGTTATAACAAACCTCCCCCAGCGCCTTGGGTTTAGGGTGTAGGGTTCCTATTCCACCATGGTAAGAATGTTCATTATGAAGGAGTTGGAGGGGGTATCATTAATCGCGCCAAGTTGCCCAACATGATTGACTACTTTACCCTGAAAATTGGGAATGGGTTATCCCACAAAAAGTCAGCTCCGAATAGTAATCTGCATTTTCTGGTATATTCCGCTATACAGCCTTGCATGTCCCTAGATGTCTCTATATGATCCCAAACACGGGTGAGGGGATATTAGGTGGGGTGATTACAAGAAGGGTTTGCAAACTAGTTTCCCAGGCTACGGCTATGCCAACTGCCCTGCGGGACACATGTTTCTAATGTATCTGAGAGTTTCCATAAATTTGGGGTCATTTTCACAGATGGTTGTAGGGATTATGTAGGCTTATACGGGGAGATGTAGGATTTTGTGATAATGGTTTAAGGTTTAGGATTTCCAAAAATTAAGGGGTTCCATTTTGGGGAGACCTATAACAAGGACTGTGGTGTTTTTGGTTCTATGTTGGGTCCCTCTATTTCGGATGGAAACTCTCCTATCTATTGCAATTCCTATGCTCGTCCTTCATATCTTTAGCCGATTGCCTGCCCAGGCAAGGGTGCGGTTCGAACCGCATGTTTTTGAGCATCACGGATGCTTCGCCTCGGTGGGGTTGTAGTTCGTCCGATACCCGCGAGAGCAGGCGACGCCCTGTTCACCGGCGGGCTCGACTGCAGTTCAGCAATGGCCGCAGAGGGCGATACAGGTGGCTGCACCGCCGGCTACGGGACCTGGAGGCAGTCTACAAGTCTGAGGACTCGGCCGAGGTGCCCAACCCAGCCCTCCTGGACGGCGTGTGGAATGCCGCGCAAAACACACCGGGGGCCAACTATACTTGCCTGTCCAGCGGATAACCTGTAAGTTCAGTAGGCACTACAATATAAAACCACTGCCAATTTCAGTGTATTTGGGCACTAGACAGTAGGTCCGCAAAAGTTACAAGGAGGTGGCTTTGTCGCAACCCTAAACCTGAAATCCTAAACCCTACACCGCGAACCCCTGAACCCACAGCACTTGCCCCAGTCGCTTTAAGGTTTACCTGGAGATCCTACTATAATTATGGTACACAGTTGTANNATATTAATTATAGTCAACTGGATCTCAACCCTAAACCCTAAACCCTAAACCGCGTTAGTCAACTGGATCTCAAGGTAGGTTTTTTGATTTTTTGCACCCCTTAAGTCCGCAAAAGGGACACACAATGAGGAGAGGCGCGAAACTCTAGTTTAGGGTTTAGGGTTTAGGGTTGCCCTGACATTAGGTGTTGGGATGTCCCAATCGCCAGAACTATAGTGGATACTAAAAACCCTGCATGAACCTAAGTACCTTGTACCCTGGGAATTCTGGCGTTAGGGTATACTAAGACCATGCAGGAGTTTAGCATCAACAGGAAGTCCATGTTGGGAATACGTGCGCTTTGAGGGGGTATGGGCCTCCACACCGAAGATCCTTTTCTTCTTGTTATATTCGGATGTATGTATTATTAAGGGGAAGAGGGGGGCTGCTCCGAAGCACCTGAGGGGTACACATGAGGTCCATTCCTCCATTCCCTACTTGCCACCTCTTGGAGATTCATGGGACTAAGTAATTGAACTGGGCTTATATAACCCTACGTATAATCCGCCTAACTGGACTCATTTAGGTTATCCCAGGCTCAAGCAGGGTTATATCCCCAGTTGAAAGTGGTTGCTAAGTCACATGAATCTCCAAGCAGTCGACCAAGTTAGTTGCAGGGCCACTTTCACCGAGGGTCACGGGATGTAGCAAGTACATTTAAAACCGCTATAAGCTACATGAGCTATAATCTAGAATCTAACCTCCTTAAAGGGGGCTATTCAGGAGAATACATCCGTGAGTATGATAGGGATTAAAGAGGGGGATGTTAGGAGTTTAGATTGCAGCCCACATACTGACACCATCTATTTGGGGTATAGGGTGCCACATAGTAACTTCAGTTTCCAGTATTTATCCACTTGCGAATTCCCCCTGCCCCTCCAAGCAATACTAGGATCCTCGAAGGCTATACAGGGTTGCTGTTAAGGAACTTAAATTAAGTTACTATATTGGGGAAACCCTATTATTTACCATATATATGCCCATTATGGTAACTTAATTTAAGTTCCTTAACAGCAACCCAGTATAAGCTCTGACGGGCAATATTGAATGTTAGCGGGGGGGTCTGATAATTAACCCTAAACCCCCAAACCCGAAGCCACACGCGCTAAACCCTAAACCCCAACTCCCAAACCCTACAACCCTAAAGTTTATGAAGTCCCCCTGACCCTCTAACTTACCTTTGGTTGGCGAAAGGAATGAAGGAATGGATCCTTATAGTAGTCCCTATATAAGGGTTTAGGGTTTAGGATTTAGGGTTTAGGGTTTAGGGTTTAGGCCCCTTCTAATACTTTCCATTTGTCTTCCATTCCTCCCAAACCCCAAACCCTAAACACTAAACCCCCAAACCCTAAATCCGAAATGGTAGGTTCCATGTTCTTTTCCATTCCTTCTTTCCCAGCTAGCCAAAGGGTAGTTCCCAAAATTAAGGTACCGTTTTGGTGCCCCTAAATATTAGGTGCCGTAGTAACCAAAAGGGGCCTATAATTTTGAGAGGATCCCAAAGGTAAGCTAAGTAACCCAGACCCCTGCCTTAATGAACCCCCCCTGCCCTTAAAAGGGATGTGCATTGGGATCCTAATATTAAGGCCCCTAAAAGGAGGGGGTGTATTAACCATGGTTCTACACCCTAAACCCTAAATAGTAGTTTCCATTTTCTTTTCCATTATCCCAATATAATCCTCATATAACCCTATATTACTAGATTTAGGCCCTTAAAAGGAGGGGGTTTATTAATCATTTTTCTACATTATGAGTTCAGGTGAAGGCCGAAATGGCTGCCGAGGCGTATTTGGCGCGCTATGCAGGGGCCAAAAGCTCACACGGCTAAGGGGACTTAGGGGTTTAGGGGTTTAGGGCTTTGGGCTTTGGGACTTAGGGAGTCTAGGATTTCGGATTTAGGGTTTAGGGTTTAAAGTTTAGGGTTTGGGGGCTACTCTCCTTGAGCATTAGCCTTGTTCGGTGTTCCAAGGTTCCGTTTTAAGATAGCTTGCGCCGAAAGATGGAGAATGTGAAGGGGATCCCAGTGATGTCAGCAGCTGTTCAGGCAATTCGTACAGCCTTGGATTGACGAGAAAGTTTGGATACCTTTGGGGTAAGACTGTCGCATAAAGACTACGGCGTACAGCTCTTGATCATGTGATCTAAGTTCTGCCTGTGCTTCTTAATCGAGTCTTCCTTCCAGCTCTTTCCAAGTTGATCTGCCAGTGGAATTAGAAGTTAAAGCCTGAGTGAAAGCACGTGATGAATTCAGGCATCTTCAAACGTTGAACTTTTTTGGGGAAGTCCTTGGCTCAAAGAAACTATGACTTGTCCATGGGAAACTTTATGGGGCACACTTGCCACAGCCTGCCCAACAGCTTTGCATTCGTGCACCTGGCAGGCAGCACCAGCGCAGGAGAAGAAGGAAGAGGCCCCTGCTGCTGAGGCCCCTCCTGCAGAAGAGAAAAAGGAAGAGGCTGCCCCAGCCGAAGCGGCTCCTGCCGAAGCGGCTCCTGCCGAAGCGGCCCCTGCCGAAGCGGCCCCTGCCGAAGCAGCCCCTGCCCAAGCAGCCCCTGCCGAAGCGGCTCCTGCCGAAGCAGCCCCTGCCGAAGCAGCCCCTGCCGAAGCGGCTCCTGCAGAAGCAGCCCCTGCAGAAGCAGCCCCCGCGGAAGCTGCGCCAGCTGAACCTGCCCCGGCTGAACCTGCCCCGGCTGAACCTGCCCCAGCAGCAGAAGCCCCGTCAGCCGAAGCGCCTCCAGCTGAAGCTGCTCCTGCAGAAGCTGCCCCAGCTGAAGCTCCCCCTGCGGAGGAAAAGAAGGAAGAGGCCCCGGCAGAGGAGAAAAAGGAGACACCACCAGCTGAAGCCGCCCCAGCTGAGGCACCAGCTGAAGCTGCCCCAGCCGAAGCTGCACCAGCCGAAGCCGCGCCGGCTGAAGCCGCGCCACCAGCCGAAGCTGCGCCTGCCGAAGCTGCGCCTGCTGAGGCTGCACCTGAGGCTGCTGCTTTCAACGCCGAGATGAAATCCAAGCTCGAGGACCGTGGGCGCATAGAGGGTTCCTGGACGTTCAATAACTTTGTTGAGCAGCAAACCCAGTTTCTGTGCAACACTCATACGTGCAAACAGAAACAACGGGCTCGAAATCATAAAGCTTGCTACGAGGGAGGAGCAGTATTTTGCTCAGTCATGTTCATATTCAGGGTCAGGTGCATTTGAAAACAATTAGATGTAGCCGGCTTGGTGGCATGAAGTTTGCAAGGGGCTTGAATTTCTACGTATACTACCGTCGAGCCAGTGTCTGTTGCAGTGATGCCTGGTGAATCTCAATAGCTCAAAGTTCATCCTTAAACCCTAAACCCTAATCGTCTGCAAGTCTCCAGCATGGAGATTTGTCTATGAGGACCTATGCAGAGGGACTGGTATTGTCGCAGAATCCTTCAATTCCTAAGCCCACATCTATCCCTACAAATCCTTCTACACCCACTGCGTCTTAGGAGGATTCTGGGACAGTGTAAGGGTAGATAGAAAGCATATGCAAGTATATAATATATAGGGGGCCCAGAATGAAGGGCGAGCTTTCAGCACCTGGTCCCTTAAACCCTATAAACCCTAAAGCCCTAGACCCCTAAACCCCCAAACCCCTAAACCCTTAAACCCCTAACCCCTTTAACCCCTAAAGCCTTAAACCCCTNNCCCTAAACCCTTAAACGCCTAAACCTGGAACCCTTAAGCCCTCAAACCCCTAAACCCTTAAACCCTCAAACCCCTAAACGCCTAAGCCCTTAAACCCTTAAGCCCTTACACCCGTAAGCCCTTAAGCCCCTAACCGCCGCAGGAATGCTTCAAGGCGATTGATCTGGACAAGTCAGGCCCCAGATCTTAACCGGGTCTAAGGGTTCAGGGTTTAAGGTTTTTAGGGTTAAGGGTTGCGGGTCAAGGGTTTAGGGGTTAGGGGATTTGAGTTTAGGGGTTGAGGATTTAAGGGGGTTAGGGGTTGAGGGTTTAAGGTTTTTGGGATTTAGGGTTGAGGGTTCAGGGGTTTAGGGGGGTTGAGGGATTTAGGGTTGAGGGGGCGTTATGGATTATCCGAACAACCCTCCCTGAGATTCTCCCCCTAGTTAGCCGTGGTTAACCCTAATACAGGTTAATTAAAGGGGGGGTCGCAAGCATGGGGTGTGATTTGGGAACCCATCGCGCTAGATCAACGTCAGGGATCCTGCGCTGTTTTCTGATACATGCGGTTGGTTGTTTGTTGTCCTTTGTGTAGTGAGTGTTTATGGCGACTTTTGGTGAGTGTATGTACCGAGTGTCCCTGTGGGACAACGATACATACAACCACGGTGGACACATAAAAAAAAGTTGCACGGCCCCTAGTAGTACATTATACCTAGGGAACTATGGTATTATAGTCTAAAGTCATGCAGGGTTTTTGCAGTATACACAGTGGGAGATGTTTCTTTTTACATATGAGCTAAAGTCGAAACGCCTTGAAGGGGATTATAGAGGGGACTATCATAGTGGTCGCTAAGGGGGGCACTAGAGTTTAGGTCTAGACCCTAAACCCTAAATCCTAGATCCTAGGGATACTTTGGGGGATGCTAGGAGTTTAGACTATGGCTCACACGTTGCTGCAAGAGGCTTGAATAACTTAATTAGGGTTGGGGGTGAGGGGGTTTGGGGTTGGCGGTTTAGGTTTAGGGTTGGGGGTTTAGGGTTGGGGGTTTAGGGTTTGCGGGTTAGCGTTGGGGATTTTGATTTAGGGTTTGGGGTACAGGGTTTAGGTTGGTTTAGGCTTTAGGGTTTAGGGGTTTAAAGGTTTTGGGTCTAGGGGTTTAGAGTTTATAGGGTTCATAGGGTTTAGGGTATAATACACCCTAATAAGGACGCATGTCCTTGAATTACATGCGAAGTGTGGCTGTAGCCCACATAGAAAGCATAAGTAGATTTAGGTAGGTAGGATGCAGGGCTTTACAGGCGTGTCTGGAGCCTTAATCCCCCAAATCCTAAAGCCACAAACCCTAAATCCCTTTAACCCTATATAACCCCATAGAACCCATTAGAGTAGTTTCCATGTCTTTTCCGTTATCCCAATATAACCCCAATATAACCCTAACCTAGAACCTCCACAAACCCTAACTCCCCCAAGCCCTAAACCCTAAACCTACAACTAAGGGTCTGATCTTTTGGGGGGTCCCCATCATAAGGATCATAAGGTATAGGGCTTTAGTATAGGGTTTAGGAGAATTGCCTGCTTAGCTGCAAACCTTCTGGAGTGAAGGTTCTGATTGTTCATAAACTAAGGGGCTTGCTACACGTTATAGGGTCTAGGGGTCGGCTTTTCTGGTGTTTAGTGTTTAGGGGTCTTTTTTTTTCTCGGTGGTTTAGGGTGTAGGGGTCGGCTTTGTTTTGGTGTTTAGGGTTTAGGGTCGGGGTTTAGGGTTTAGGGGTCGTTTTTTTGGTGTTTACGGTTTGGGGTCGGGGGTTTAGGGTTAAGGGGTCTTTTTTTTTTGTGTTTCGGGTTTAGGAGTCAGTTTTTTCGTTTTAGGGTTTAGGGGTCCCTTTTTTTGGGTGGTTATTAGGGCTCATTAAGGCTCATTAGGGCTTCTTAGGCTTTGTTAGTTTGTGGGGTGGAGGTTGGGGGCCCAAGGTGGTTCTATGACGTGGGCATTCGCTGTATACCCAAAGGCTCTCCTTTTCTCCTGCTGAATTAACCTTTTTAGGACCTGCAGGTACTGGTACTGGCTTCTGGTAGTTTCCATAAATAGGGGACCCCATATGAATCTCAAAATATCATAAATCATTATAAATATAGGAGGCTCAGAAAGTGACTCCTAATCTGCCTACCTTTACCGCTTGTTGTGTGGTTTTGCAAGGATTCATCGAAGCCAACGAGTTCCAAAATGTGCTTTCCAAGCTGTCTGTGAGCCTCTCCGAAGCCTGGATTGCACTGTGATGTCTTAGAGTTTAGGGCTTCTAGGGGTTTTGGATTTAGGGGCTTACAGTCTCGAGAGTAGTAGTTAATGTAATACCTGATGGACTTATACCAAGGCCAAATTACGTCCTGTGTTTGCCCACGCTTCCGGATATACTTGGCAGACAAGTGCTAGAACAGATGCAAGAACCTGTATGACAGCAAACGGAGAGCAGTAGCAACAACGCAGGTAAGGGAGTCTTTCAAAATGTTTCCAGATGATTCATACATTATCTCTCAAGGTTTAAGGCTCTAGGGCGGGGACCCCAGGAAGTGCTTATAGTCGCTTTATGGTTTAGGGTTTAGGGTTCCTGTTTTCACAAGCCCATAATGGTAGCAGCAAGTACTCTCGCTTGAAAGGTCAGGGGGACGTAGCAAGTAGGTTTTAATAAGGAGGATATCTGGGGTCCTTATATGGCTTCTAGGGTTTTAGCTACGCTTACGAATTGCTCTGACCCTCGAAGTACTACTATTTCGAACCTTGCCAGCTTGACTTGGAAGTTTTTGGACGAGAGGCTTCAAGCTATAATGTTGTGAAGGCCGGAGAAATCTCCTAGTTTCTTCATGTACTATAGGGCCCCCAAAAATGCTAATATGGTGTTAGGTTATTAATCGTGGTATAGTAAGGCTTCCTGAAATAGTCGTCAACAAACTTGCAGCTTCAGGGGACTTAGAAACTACTTATAACTGGCAATATAACCCCACTTAAGATTTGCATATCCTAAATATGTCCAATCAGGTCCCATGAACCTCCAAGCAATATTGGTATTTTCTTAAACGCTGGATAGGATCACAAGCTCTAAGCCCTACACATGAAGGGTTCAGGGTTTACTTCGAGCCCTGATGTGACCCCAGATCATTGGATTCTCAGTTAAGAGAGCCTTCGGGTCGGTAGTTATCAGGTCGGTACCTTTACATAAGGCTTGTGTAAGGCGTATATGGGGGAAACGAACAACCTGAAACTTCTTTAGATATTCTGATGCAATGCTCTGCCAGCTTGAAAGATCACGCTTTGCTCTAAGTCTTTGGCGAGGGTGTACTACATCAATGTCAGAGTGCACGCAGTGACCAGCACAGTCATAAGAACAATAGTAAGGGTAATGAAGAGTAAGGCTAGCAGTAGTAGGGAAAGCATGTAATAGTAAGGATCAAAGTAAGGGTAGCTGAGAGAACAAGAAGTAGACATGGCGATAACGAGACCTATCGTCACGAGCAGCACAAAGCACAGCACGAGAAGCAAAGACGCCAGCTGTGCTTGAAAAGGCCTCAAACAATACGATGGGTTCCCTTAAGCCCAAACCCTAAACCCTAAACCCAAGGTCCCCTATTGAGGCCAATTCAGGGGGGGTAGTCCTGGGGGGAGAGGGTTCCATGTGGCTAGCAATCTGCGTACAACCAAGGACAACCGACGCATATAACTATGAGGATAAGGGTTCTGGGCCTAGGGTTTAGGGGTTTAGGGGTACCTTCCCGTTCTACAGTGGAGAATTTAAGCCTAAGGCAAGTAGTCATTTCAAACCAAGCAAGTTTCTCCAAAAGACATTTTCGGGGAATGTGTAGAAAGCACAGACACGCAAAATGCGCGGATATCATATATAGGCACCGAAAAAAAAAGGCTCCCAGACCGCGAAAACACTTGAGTGATTCAGCTTCATGTGCTTGTGGTCTAGGTTGTAAGGACAGAGGCTGTTTAGGGTTTGGGGTTTGAGGCTGTTTTACATCATTATTGTTCTAGATTCCTTGTATAATTCTGGTGTGGAATATCTCAGGTAGATCCCAACATGAGGCTGCGAATTGTTAAGCCCCTGCAGAAAACAGGTATGAGCGACCAAAACTGCATTCGGAAATTTCTGATGGACCTTGGAGGGGGGAGTATAAGGAGGTGGTAGGGCGGGCTTAAGATGTCGAATCTCCAGATGAAAACCCACAGAATCTCTGTAACTCCTGTAGAATCATTATGCGATTCAATCCCTTCCCGTGGTCTTCAACATCCCCACACCCCGTGACGTGAAATATTTTCCCGACATAAACCCTAGACCCTGAAACCTAAACCCTAAACTCTAGAGCCTACACCCTAGACCCTT